TAAACATACATAATTAAGTAGTTCCTCTAATTAAAACAAGAAAATTAGTGTAATACTTTACAGTAGAATCACATCATTAAGTAGAAAAATGTCTAGCGGCGGGCAGAGGGGCGGATTTAGAAGAGAGATTAAACGATGATCCGTTTGTACTGGACAGGGAGAGTTCCAGGGTGTTAAAGAGTAGCATCTTATGACATGACCTCAGGATTCTGGTCCACAACATTATCCTATGTATGGAAAATAATGTAGGTGGTGTCCTAACATCGTATACCAAATTTCCTCCTCATCGGTCAAGTATTGTGTGGTCGGCGTGGTCGAGTCGGTAAACCGAAAAGTGTCGAGTTCGAATCCTCGGGTTCATTAGCTGGGGACAGCCGCTCTTCTAGGAAAGACAACTCCCAAATCGAAACAACTGCTGCCTTGTAGTTTGTTCTTGGTTGGACAAAGGCTATGGAATTAAATTCAAACAGAAAAGCAGGCTGAAATCGGAGTCAGTGGCCTCAATGGCGCATAACCAGTTGACACGTATCCTTAATTGTGATGGAGGCGTGGTCGAGTCGGCAAAAAGATCATTGTTGATAAATTCGAAAAAGTCGCAAGTTCAAACCCTCGACCCCTTTCAGCACTCAAAATTAAGAACGAAGAAGAAGAAGGTCAAGTATTATGCAAATATGACATGTTTTCCAAAATGTACAATGTGTCACTATAGAGTAAAATGCCAGTAATACCTTATTTATAACATGTTTTCTATAACGCTATTTAGCAAGTATTAGAATGAGGCATTTTATTTGAAGAATATACAATTTATAAGCGTTAAAAAATAATTACATAATTATTTTACATTTTCAAATATCAACAATTTAAAGTCAACAGTTTTTTTTTAAATATTCCAATTTGAATGTTAAAAATGTAAAGCAATTTAAAAAAAAAACAAATTTCTTCTTCAAATTGTAGAAATTCGTGTTTTTAATTAATTTTTTTTGGTCGAATAAAATGTGTACAACAATGACCCCCGTGGAGGAAGGGGGTAGAACCCGGTACACGAAGTAGGTCAAGGGTTAAGGCTAGGAGCTACAGGGCAAACACTTTTTTGTTATTAGTCAAGCAAATTCACTGAAACTTCACCCATATATTGTATGCTCAATGGGATTTTTAAAAATGGTGTCCAAAAAGAAAAATATTTTTGGTTGCCATGGTTACGTCCGCCATATTGGATTTTTGTTTATCATTTTCAAAATGCTAAGGCTCAGCAACCACTAAAGGTAAACACACAGAAATGCAAGCATTTTGTAGAGTGATGTTAGCCTGAAACTTTCTATAAAGTACTTTTTAAGAAAAGGGTTTAAAAAAATTATTTTTAATTTTTAAATCCTAGACTGTTAAAAAAAGCTGAAATTTGCTCAAATTCAACATATTTCAGTCCATAAAATCGAAATTTGCTCAAATTCAACATATTTCAGTCCATAAAATCTAAAGTAAGGAAAATCTTTAAAAAATGCTTTATAGAAGTTGTTTATATATGTTAGAAAAATAATCAGGCTAAGTTTCATTACAATACATGCAGAACTAACAGAGGAGTAGGGATTTGAAGAGTGAATTTTAACGTTTTGAGAAAAACGCAAAAAACTAAAGAAAAATGAAAAATTTCATTCATAACCTAACAAATACTAACAAAATTTGGTTTTAATTTATGCAGGTTTATTTAACATATAAACATGCAATGAAGTATTAAACTTGCAAGTACATTTTAAATAATAAAGTAAAAAAATTGTCGTACAAAGATAATGCGTCAAATACGTAAAGGCAAAAAACATTTTTATTTTCTTAAAATAAGTTGTTTCAAAAATTGGGCTGAACCACACCTAACAGTTCTATTTTGTTAAGCATATTCACATTTCATTTTGGCAACTGCTACTTTTTCCTGCCATCTAGCTTTTTCTTTTTTTCAGATTAGTTGTCCGGCAAAATGTTTCAATGTTTTTTTTTAAATTATTGCTACCACTATAACTATAATAATTGATTTATCCATCTCTTCAGCTCTCTTTATCTCTTCCTGTTAATACTTGTGCACTGACCAAAATAAATGCTCTTTTTCCAAGTTATTGTCTGGTTTCATACTGCTTGGCTTTCTCTTGGCAAAGGTCAATTCTATAAAGGAAAGTAGAACATAAGTTATTCTAGTGGACAAAAAAAAAAACACTTTACCACAAACACATTTTGCATTGAATATGTATTAAATCCTAAACTAAGTTGCAAAATCATTGTAAGGTATAAGCTATAAATAAATTTTACAACTGTTTTGGGTCCAGAACATGATTTTGAAAAGCGGTTTGCCGTCATTCGGATACATGATTCTCCTTTTTGCAGTATTTAAAAGTTGCCATATTCTTTCACTGAGGTCACTTGGTCACTAGCTCTTCAATCATTTTCTCCAGATATTGTTATGTGAAACAAAATTATGTGTAGGGAGATTACCTTGAACCAGGGCAACTTGCAGGGTTTTCAACACACACTGTAGGCCTAAATCATAGGGGAAATGAATTTATTAATAAAATATACAAATGTAAAAAGAAAAGTAATCATAAAACTATAGTGATATATTGTATGAATATAAGAATAGGAGAATCACTGAATAGAATTTGATTTATTAGTTTGAGGAGATTAAAATCTGTTGAACTAGTATCTGAACCACTAATGAGTCTAATGACAAACAGGTCTACTAACCTAAATAAGATGTTCAAAGAAAAAAAATATGTAGGCCTACTAATTAATCTTTAAATTCAAATAGTTTAATGGATATTGAAATACTCACTGCTTGATGTCCGTGCATCTATTCCTTGTAAACAAAATTTAAGGCTGTAGTTTTCATAATCACTGGACAGCAGTAGAACATCACACACATGAGCCTAGTTTCAAATAGTTTGTTGTGTACTCTTTTATCCTTGTTACGCATTAGGACACTTGTAACATGTGCAGGCCAACTTCACCCGGGGATTACTTAAGTTATTACCAAAATTGTTCTATCTGATAAGTCTGTTTTGGGTTCGATCACAGGGTGATAGTGTATTTCTTGCTGTGTAGTGTGTAATAACTTACTACACACGTAACACACAGCTTACTCTTGTCGTGTGCGGTAGGCTTGTGTAGACTAAATCTAGTAGCAGTAAATCAACAGAGAAAGATGGCTGGTATGAAATCACGGAACTTCTAAACAGTTCAAACATTATTAAACCGATAAAAACATTTGATACGATGAGATTTGTCTAAAAAGTTTGTAAACAGCTGATTGAAAATCAACAACAAGAATCAGTTCATCACTAGGCACGCCGGAAGCGATAAACTAGCTAGCGAATCAAAAATTTTAACACTGATAATTCCGAGTCCGCCAGCCAATAGAATTTTACCTTGCTTCCGGGGTAAGGCCGAGTAGGAAAATTTGGTATATGTAGGTCAAAATCTTTAAAAAGTGTGTTTCATTTGAACATTCGAAATTAAATGGAATATTTTCATTGGTTGACAAATTTACCTTGTCGTTATAGACAAGAAAAGGAGCTTTCCGGCGATACTAAACACGCGGTAGCTATTTTTAGTTATCTGTATGTTTTATAGTAGTAAACTTAGGCAATTTTCGCTGTATTTTTGAAAAATTAGACAAAACATGCATATACATGCCTCACAAAAAAATTAATTTAAAATAAAAATAAGCATTTTCCAACAATATGTTATGTGGTTTTGTATTCAGAAATGGATATACTTTAATAATTAGGTCAAAACTGAAATTTGACATCTGACACCCAACACACTTAAATCGTGTGCCGCACACAGCCTTAAAATAGAGAGGAGCCCAGTGGTCAGGCTAGACAGGCGAATTCAAGCCATGTATTAATATAGACTAGGTACGGATGTTTTTGTTCTATAGTTATTGGGTACGTGCTCAAAACTAGTATTGTTGGTGTGAAACCTGGTAGTTTATCGTTTTGTGACGTGTTATGTGGAGTTTGATAGTGGTGTAGTGTAATTTTACAGGAGACTGCATTTGATTTCCTGCTCTGGTTTTGTTAAACTGGTGACATTTAGAATAATGGAATCAATACGTTGACCTATCTGTTTTACGTATTATTTTTCTTTAAAAAAAACTCAGCATGAGTTTTTGTTTGAAATTTATGAGGATATAACAGGAGATTATCTCTTAATTTTTAAGCTTCACATAATTAAAATAAAAAATACTTGTTGTGATGAGTAATTTCGTAATGTTGTGGGTAGTAGACGGGCCTATTTTGTAGAAAGTTTACATATCATGAGGTGTCGTCGTAGAAGAAAAAGTGACATAAAGCGTTATTTAACGTTTTATAACGTTATATATATAGAGGTATATCACACATCATATTTTTGTATTATATCGTATGTCTTGTGTGCGCAACCTCGTAAGGGAGAAGACTGGATATATAAAGATTTGACCTTTGGTGTTAATTAGTTAATTACTTCTTGATTTTTTTTGACTCACCAGTATAGAAAAGCTAATTACCGTAATCGATAGGGTCAAGGGTATACAACTCAAGGTCAGACTATCTAAGTTATTGCGGCCCTATGCCGTAAGTCTGCCCTATATAGGCTACATGTAAGTAGTTCAGCTAGTTCAGGAAATAGAGGAAAAACAGTATATATATATATATATACTGTATATACGTATATACGTATATATATATACATATATATATATATATATATATATATATATATATATATATATATATATATATATATATATATCACTACACTTACTTTCTAGTTAAGGATATATAAAGTTGTCAATGATCTTCATAGTAAGTCAATAACTCATAAGAAAATTAAAAAGTACTAACATTTCAAAACTCATACAGAAATATGCTGGATTCAATGTCGAATTTAAACATGTCTCTTGCTTGAAATAATAATGAATTTTAAATAAAGTCACAGCCTCGAATGAATAAAATGTCGACTGAAATAAAAGTAGTACTCACGTATGGAGAAATAAACTAATATTCTGCTAGTCTATAATAAACGTATCAATATAACGTCATTCAATGAGAATCTCAAACCATGAAACGAACTATAAACGACAACTCTGCACAAGGACCGGCTACTCCGTCAAAGGACCGACAACTCTACCTCGCAATCGCTGGCTGTACAAATCGTCGCTGTGAGACGATCGGTAACCACAACGGCGTGTGAGAGAGAGAGAGGGGGAAAAACCTTGGCGGACGCTGCGGATATTAGCGATGCGAGCCACGTGCAAGGTAGATCCATCTTTCTGTCGTAGGTCGAACAGGGGCGACAGCTAACTATCCGCCTGCTACCTTTTCTTGTCGCCCTTGACCGTAGGGTTAAATGATGCTCAGAGAATTCAGGCAATGCGGGTGATGGATAGTGGGCGTAAGAGGGGGTTGGGTGTTGATTGGTTGATGGTGGGGTTCAAGTTAGGATATTGAAAGGGTGAAACTAGGGTTCGGGGGTGGCATGTATAGGGGTTTGTGTTTGGGGTTTTAGGAATTGGGGTCTTGAGGTTTTATAATAGGGTTGGGTCGGGTTGCATTGTGTTTACGTGATAGTGATGGAGCACAAGACGAATGCTGTATGGTGGATCAGATGCTGGATAGTGGATGGTGATGAGAGAATCTTTTTGGCATGGGTCTTTGAATTCAAGTAAATGATATCTGGACATGTCATTTTCTACAATCTAATGTTAGATGGCATTCTGGATGTCATTTACTATAGGCTTATGTAAGATGACATTCTTGACATGTCATTTAATAAGAGCTACTTGTTTCATTTTAATGAAGACTATGGTATGTGAGTGTTTTTATGTTGTCATCACCAGTGTGTCTATGTTAAAAAGTATCAGTTGGCTTTATTTTAGACTTATCAGATCATTTCTGAGTTGGCCTCTTTTATCTATTAACTCCCTGTCCGGAACCTACATCCCTTAATTAGCAGAGCCTTATCTACGCCATATAAACAGTCAAATTTTTATTCATTTAACTTAGAGTTGATGTACATTCCAAATAGAAATCTAAGCACAGCATCAGCAGTCTGATTTAAAAAATTGGAAATTTTATATTATTTTTTTCAAATCATCTAGTTTATTTATTTGATTACAATTGTGTTATTGGTATTTCCCTTTCTGACGGCACGCGAGCTATAGCTGTAGGGTTTCTATAGTCGTTCAAAACATTGAGACTATACTCACAACTCACTCTATAACTTTACAAGGATTTTTTCTCACACGTGATTTCTCAGTGGATAATGATCAACACGAATGAAAAATAAATACTGTAAATTTAATTGTGATATATATATATATATATATATATATATATATATATATATATATATATATATATATATATATATATGCGTATATATACGCATAAATACCTATACCTATATAAATGTACATGTATATATATATATATATATATATATATATATATATATATATATATATATATATATATATATATATATATATATATATATATATATATATATATATATATATGTATGTATGTAAGTATATATATATATGTATAAAAATCCTGTATATATTTATAAATATATGTATATGTGTGTATGTATGTCTGTCTGTATGCATTTATACAGTCGACAACAACTCTACTGTTTACACACAAAATATTTCTTGAGCTGGAGAAAGGATTGTAGGAAAAAAAGTCACAGGGGAAAAAAACACAGGAACAAAAAACACAGAAAAAAAGCCACAGGAAAAAAAGTCACAGGAAAAAAGTCACAAACATATATTTGCAAGGAATGTGTTAATAATTTTATGAATTATATATTCAGAGAGTGCAAAATTAACTAAGGATTTACTCAATGTAATGTTATGTGTGTAGGTTGTATACGCATGGTAATGTTTATAATTCGTCTAAAAATATTTAGTTTTAAGTATGTATATTGTAATTATGTATAACAAATATTAATAGCATTTAATAGAATGTTCCAACATCCTCAGTTTTCACCGTATTGTTTTTAATACTGATATTAAATTACCGTGAAATGGTAAGTTCATCTGACTTGCTGCCCTCAACTCATCGCAACGATAGTTATGATAAGTTCAACCACCTTTACTGCCCACATTTATCACGCTCATTACATAACAAAGCATAGGATCAAAACAGAAAGCCGACACGGTTCAAAGGCTGTCATTGACATAAAACGTCCACTTCACACATTATGTTCGGACAAGGCCGACTGAGGAGAGGCCGACAGGAGATAAGCTTACGGCAAAACATATGCAAAATACAATGATGTATCTACATTTCTTATATAATTAGCTTTTCTGTCGCGTATTTGACTAAATACGCAACAAAAGTTGAGATTGTTATGTAAATTATCTTAGAGTATTTTACTTTTAATTGTTATAAACTATTATGCTTTTAACGTCTATAAATAATATATGCTACACAAAAATAACCCACAACAATAAAAAAATATAAAAATTTACAATTTGCAACAAATAAAGCAAAATATTTATAGAAAAGATTTTTGTGACTTTTTTTCTGTGACTTTTTTTCCGATAAAATTTTTCCATTGTGACTTTTTTTCTGTGACTTTTTTTCCTAGCAAAAACTGTGACTTTTTTCTGAGGTTTTTTTTTTTCCTGTGACTTTTTTTCCGTTCACTGGAGAAAGATGGTCCTATATCGGTGGACCTAGGGTCATATGCATATCGGTCGGAGGTCAAACTGTCTTGGAAATTTTTCTTGTTTTTTCTTTTGTTTTTTTTCCTTGGTTCTGCCCCACATTGGGTGAGTAGTGTAGTATTTCAGAGAACTTGAGCGGCGTCGTCGACCTTTGTGGTGACACACGCGAGTAGTCACACGACTTTTGTGGTGACACTGAAATATTCACATAACGTTTGTGGTGACCTTGAAGTATGTACATGACTATTGATGAGACACTCAAGTATTTACACGACTTAATTGGCGACACTCTCAACTATTTACACGACTTTTGTGGTGAGACACTCGAGTAGTTACACTACTTTAGTGGTGACCATGAAGTATTTCCACTACTCTAGTGGTGACACACTGAAGAATTTACAATGATGACACACTTTTTTGACACTGATGTATGTTTACACATCATTTATCGTGACATCAAAGTATTTAAACAACTTTTGTGGTGACACTGACTTAACTATTTACACGACTTTTGTGGTGACACTAAAATACTTACACGACTTATATTGGTGACAGTGAAGTATTTACAGAACTTTTGTGGTGACATTGAAGTATTTACTCAACGATTGTGGTGACAGTAAAGTATTTAAACAACTTTTGTTGTGACACAAAAGTATTTGAACAACTTTTTGGTGACACTCAACTATTTAAACTACTTACTGGTGACACTAAACTATTTAGCAGGGAGATAATCGCGCACGTTTGATAGTTGGTATGGCAACATATCTAGGGTGTGAACAGGGGGAAAATAGATTTCAAAGATAGAGACAAGCTTTGGGCAGCTAGGCGTCAGTGTGTTGCGTCAAGGTTTTGTTTGGTTTAGAGTTGGGTTTCTTGTCTTGTGGTGTTTCTGTTCGTGGTGTGTTTCTTGTCACTTGTTTATTTTCGTCTTGAATTACTTTGGCCTTTTTTTTAAAGCTGTGTTTATTTTAATGATATGTTTGTATAGCGATGTTTTATTGAATGTGTTTATTTTACTGTACTGTTATTTTAGTCATCTGATTATTTTAAACTTCTGTTTATTTTATTTTTATGTTTATTGCGTCTTGATTTTAGAATACTGTTATTTTAGTCTTCTGACTATTTTAATCTTATGTTTATTTTAGTTTTACGTTTATTGCGTATTAATTTTAGTGCGTAGTATTTGACCGATACTTTATAAAAAAAACTATAATGAATTTCTGATTTACAGCTAAGACTAACCAAGAGAAATGTCTACAGTAATTTGATACATTCAATTAGTATCGCTCAACGCTTAAAATAAAAATGAGATCGATGTTTTAAATAATAAAAAAAAATCTAATACCCATTAATGTAAAATTTAAAATGCCATTTAACTTTCAGTTGATACTTTACTTTTGTTTAAAATAGTCATTATTTGTCTTTATTTTTTTTTGGGTATGAAGATGGGTGAGGCAGGGGGGGTTGTTTATCAATCATATCGCATAACAGTGGGGGTATTGTGAAAAAGTTTGAGCAATTAGGACAGAGTTTCACATGCGGGGAGGGTTTAAGACGACAGAACTGGTGATAAAAATGGCGCTATATACTTTATGTCTTGTATGGACCCTCCCCCCTCCCCACTTCGAGCCTCTCTCCCATTATACATGTAATATAAGACAAGTAACCGAGTTCGTTTCTGTTATTGTTTTTGATTTGACAATGCGTGAGCACAATCAGCATCCCCGTAAACACACACGAACATCAAATCAGCTGTTAGAGATACGCGGTAATCATCTACACAGAGCAGAGTCCGGGGAGATTTGAATGAATATCTGATTAGATTTGTATGAATATCTGATTAGATTTGAATGAATATCTGATTAGATTTGAATGAATATCTGATTAGATTTGAATGAATATCTGATTAGATTTGAATGAATATCTGATTAGATTTGTATGAATATCTGATTAGATTTGTATGAATATCTGATTAGATTTGAATGAATATCTGATTAGATTTGAATGAATATCTGATTAGATTTGAATGAATATCTGATTAGATTTGAATGAATATATGATTAGATTTGAATGAATATATGATTAGATTTGAATGAATATCTGATTAGATTTGAATGAATATCTGATTAGATTTGAATGAATATCTGATTAGATTTGAATGAATATCTGATTAGATGTGAATGAATATCTGATTAGATTTGAATGAATATCTGATTAGATTTGAATGAATATCTGATTAGATTTGAATGAATATCTGATTAGATTTGAATGAATATCTGATTAGATTTGAATGAATATCTGATTAGATTTGAATGAATATCTGATTAGATTTGAATGAATATCTGATTAGATTTGAATGAATATCTGATTAGATTTGAATGAATATTTGATTAGATTTGAATGAATATCTGATTAGATTTGAATGAATATCTGATTAGATTTGAATGAATATCTGATTAGATTTGAATGAATATCTGATTAGATTTGAATGAATATCTGATTAGATTTGAAT